GGCCTAGCTAATGCTCCAGCAACTTTCCAACGGGCTATGAACAGTATATTTTGTCCTTATTTGAGGAAGTTTGTGTCAGTTTTTTTTTTTTTTAAATATAAATTTATAGTTCTAACCTCAATGATCATGTGCAGCACCTCAAAGAAGTGTTTTCTGTTTTGAGACGGTATCAATTGTTTTATAAAAAAAAGCAAATGTTCTTTGGCAGCAAGTGAAGTTGAGTATTTAGGTCACTTAATTAGTGGTGGTCAAGTCCGAACAAATCCCAAGAAAGTTCAAGCAGTGGCTGAATGGCCTGAACCTATAACTATTAAGCAATTGAGGGCTTTTTTGAGGCTGCCTGGATATTATAGAAGATTCATCAAGGGATATGGAGTCTTAACCAAACCACTAACTCTCTTACTTAAGAAGAATGGATTTGAGTGGTCAAACGTAGCTGCTGCAGTTTTTACTAAACTCAAAGTCCTTATTTCTGCACCCACACTCACCAGTCCAGATTTTTCCAAGCAATTCATAGTTGAAGCTGATGCTTGTGGAGTAGGAGTGGGGGCTCTTCTAATGCCAGAAGGTCAGCCAATTGCATATTTTAGTAAGGGGTTAGCTGAAAGACACGAGCAACTTTCTATATATGAAAAGGAGTTAATAGTTGTGGTCCTAGCTGTGCTTCATTGGCATCAATATCTTGAAAGGAAGCAATTTACAATCAGGTCTGACCAACAAAGTCAGAAATTTTTGCTCGGACAGCAATTAAAGACCTCATTTCAGAAGTTTTGGGTTGTAAAATTAGTTGGATTTGAATGAGATACGATATAAAAAGGGGAATGATAATTCAGTAGCTGATGCTCTTTCTAGAATACCTAAACAGCAGCTGATGCAAATGGTTTTAGACACCTGTTCCCCTGAGTTACCGGACAAAATCAAGGGAAGTTGGGAGAGTGATGCTGTGATTACAGGAATTCATAAGAAAACTCAAGAAAATAATGGTGTGTGGGGGCATTTTTCTTGGGATGGAGATTTGTTGAGAAGAAAAGGGAAGTTGGTGATAGGAAATGATGCTATCTTAAGGCAGCAGATTTTAGAATGGCTGCACTCTAGTTCTCAAGGAGGGCATTCAGGGATTCAAGCCACTTATCACAGGATCAAAGCATTATTTTGGTGGAAAAAAATGATCAATGATGTAACATATTTTATTAAACAGTGTGATACTTGTACTCGCTCTAAGTATGAGGCTATTGCTCCTCCTCGACTATTGCAACCTCTTCCCATTCCAAGTCGAGTATAGGAAAGTATTACTATGGATTTTATTGAAGGACTTCCTAAATCTCATAGTAAGGATACAATTTGGGTAGTAATTGATAGAATGAGTAAGTATGCCCATTATATACCTCTTACTCATCTTTATTCTGCTTCTTATTTACAAACTTCATGGTGCTCCTGCTGAAATAATTAGTAACCATGATCCAATCTTTGTGAGTTCTTTTTGGAAAGAATTTTCACATATTTTAGGGGTCAAACAACAACTTTCTACAGCCTATCACCTTAAATGGATGGGCAATCAGAAGTTTTAAACAGATGTTTGGAGACTTATTTGAGGTGCATGTGTTGGGAGCAACCAAAGGATTGGACCAAGTGGGTTTCGCAAGCTGAATAATGGTACAACACCACATTTCTTACAGCTACTAAAGCAACACCACATGAACTTTTGTATGGTCAAAAAGCCCCTACTCATTGTCCTTATTTGTCTCATAATTCTGATTTGGATGTTTTAGACAAGTCTTTTTCAACAAGAGAAGCTGTAATGAATGTGATAGAGCTGGTGATTCCCAAAAGATTTTCCTATCATTTCCTAAGGCTTACACTAGACAATCTAGGCAGGGAGGTGATTTAGAGAAGACTAAGATCAGTGATCAAGAGGTTTATTTGAAGGTTTATAACTGCAAGATTCAAATGATAAAAGAAAAGTCAGGTTAGGTGTAGCCTAGGATATGGGTAGTGTCAGTAGGGGTAATGACTACTTCTTGACTCTTTAAATATGTACTTCTGTGATGAGGGATGAGAAGGGACTATTGGAGAATTGTGGTCAAGTGAGGAGAGTTCTGGCCTCTCGAATGCCAGATTAGGGGTGGAGAAGATCATCTTTTCTTCATCATTTTATCTTTCTACTTCAGTTTGTATTTATGAGAGACCAGTGTTCGTGTTGCTACTCAGAGGGTATAGTTTATGTTGTTTCATGCTCTATAATTGCCATCTCAGTGGAGTTTCAGTCTTTATTTTGATTGTAATCCCACTCTTTGTTCAGCAATAGTAATTGTTAGTTACATTTACAGTGTATTTTCTGGTTTTGCTTATTTTTAAGCTTAATAGAGTAGAGGGTTGCATCAGAATGTTTTAAAGCATCACCTTCATCAGGCAACCAATTTGATCAAACAGAAGGCTGATTCACATAGGACGGATTGTGAGTTTGCTATTGGTTAGTGGGTTTTTCTCAAGCTAGATATAGGCAAATTTCTTCAGCTGCTAGAAGCACTCAAAAATTGGCTCCACGGTATTTTGGTCCCAACAAGATTATTGACAGAGTTGGTGCAGTGGCTTACAAATTAGAATTGCCACTTGAATCTAGAATACATCCAACCTTTCATGTGTTTCTATTAAAGCTATGTCCTGAACCTAAGGTGAAGCAAAGGCATCCAACCCTTGATTGGCCAAAAATACCACCAGCTTTAGGACCTGAATGTATTTTACAGAAGAGGATTGGTCCAAAGAGAGGGAGGATTGTTACTGAAATTTTGATTAAGTGGAAGCAATTGCCGGATGAAGAAGCGTCTTGGATGGTGTTGCATCAATTCCAGCAAAAATTTCCCCAATTTGTTACCACTGATCCTTGAGGGCAAGGATCTTTTTGAGGGGGTGTTGTTAAAGATTTATAATTATGACATGATTAGTTATAGTTTTATGGGTCGGTTATGCATGTTTCATGTGTGTTTCATTTAAACAGTTGATTAGTGAAAATATAGCCATTGGGAGGGAATGACGTAAGCCTATATATACTAAAGCATTTGAGTTGTAATCTTATCTTCGGTGATCAAATAAGCAGTACTCCTTATGTTCCTCAAATTCTCTCAATCTCTCCACCTAAATCTCTCTCATTTCTCTCTGCTTCTAACCTAACTTCACTGTTCTTCTCCCATATTTCACTATACCTCTCTAGTTCTTGTCAGTCCCACACATTCTTACCTATCAAAATGCACCTAGTAGAAGAATGTTCTTTAAAGGTAGAATTTGGAATCAAAGGGTTTCTGCCTAAGTAGAAATAAAACAGAATATATATGTTGCAAGTTTGACAAAAAGTAAGTTAGAATTGATTTGAAGGCGAAATTGGAGATCAAACCACAACATAAGTGTCAAAGTTCAACTATCTGAGATCGATAATACAAAATGAAGATAAAATTGATGAGGATATTACACATAAATGCAACTTGGGTGGTTGAAATGGAGAAAGACATCAAGAGTAATTGTAATTTCAAAGTACCTACTAAGCTTTAAAGGGAAGTTTTATTGAATTATTGTACAGCTAGTGATGTTACATGGTAGTGAATGTTTACATAGAAGGAAAAACAACCAAAAAAAATTGTGATACCAAAGATGAGGGTGTTGAAATGGATGTGTAGTCACACAAGGAAAGATAATATTCGCAATGACTGTATACAAGGAAAAGTTGGCAGGACATCCATTGAAGAGACATGGTCGAAAATCTTTTAAGGTTGTTCAATTATGTGCAAAAATGGCCTATCAAGGTGCCAATGAGGAGGGTTAAGCATGTGGTTTTTAGCCCTATAAAGAAAGTTAGATAAAGGCCAAGAAGGACACTTAAGGAAGTTATCGAATGAGATCTGTCAATGAATAATATGTCTAAGAATTGGTCATTGATAATTGATATAGTTCAATGGTATTATGTGATTCTTGTAACCAACCTCACTTAGTGGAATAAAATTTGTCATTATTGCCATTGTTGTTGTATTTAGTTAAACCAATTATTTGTTATTGGGGTTGATAGCAACAATCATTTCATCCAAGATGCATATATTTTATTTTCATAATGGATTTACGTCTTTCATTAATGAAAAATTTTTATGTAGCATTGGCTCTAGTTGTTTACCCTTCAAAAGTTCTTGCTTAGGTAGTTCACGCCATACTTGGTGGGATCCATAATAGACTGAAGGTCAGGTATTAGGTATTGTGGCTTGAAACAGTGCAAAAGCCGAATATCAAGCATTGACGGTCGAAACTTGTGAAGGGATTTGACTTGAGCAAATTTCAAGTCAGATGTAATAGACCTATAAAAAGACAATGTGGTAGCATGGGAACCCTAAGTATTGCAAAGAACCTAGTTCAACATGATTGAACTAGACATACTGAGATCATCAGTCACTTTTATCAAGGAAAACATTAATACTGGAGTTATTGAATTAATCTACATGCCAACAAGGACACAAGTGGTAGAAATATTTACTGAGGCCCTGCCAAGAGTAAGAATAGAAAAACTTGGGTGCAAGATGGGAATGATTAATACCAACTCTCCATCTTGAAGCGTTAATAAATCAGCAAGATTATAGGGATGATGATATGAACCAGATTTGGAAATATTTCAAGTCTGGCATGATCTAAATAAATCCTTGCTTGTTTCAAGCATAATGCTTGTGTTTTTGAGGATAAAAGCTGTGTCTTTTGATAACTCATCACATAGTGTTGTCTTTAATATCTCTCTGCTGCACTCATCCCATGGATTCCTCAAGGGCACTCACCTTGACAGGTTGGTACAGAAATTGGGGAGCATTTAAATACCCTACGGTTTCTTGCTAAATTTTATTTCATTGCCTTAGTAAATGAGGACTTTTTATTCTCCTCCTCAGTTTCTTCCCTCTTATTGAAACAAAAATTTGGAGAAATATATAGGAATTTAAAGTTCATGACAAGAATATATGCAAGGAAAATGTTATTACCATGACCAGGTATTAGGGATCCAGAGTCTTTAACACCCGCATCACGTTTAATCATAGATTCAGTAAGGTCGCCAAATACAGATCCAAAGAAATTCAGAACACCAAAAGCCATTGCACTGGGGGGAAAAACCATGGTATCATGAGTGTCAATGCATGTCCACATCCACAGGATATAAAAGATTCCATAAAAAACATGTGAATAATAATCTTGTACTGTAAGGCCATTTACTTGTTGACACGGCTATTACTGAAATGATAAAACTCATTACGCACTTCAATATCTTAAAACAAGTGTTGGCAACAGAAAGGTGCATGACAACCATTTATGCTATCAGTAATATACACTAAACATGCAGGTTATTAAGCAAAAATAACCAACTATTAAGAAAGCAAGAATCATCAATAATATGATTGATTGATATGCTCTTGCTGCAGATCTCCACTTACTGTCATGGTGCCTGGATGCCAAAGGAAGATCCATATTTTCTATTTAAAAGAATAGGACCGTGAGAAGGTAATCACAATTAATTTTCCTGGACATCATGTTGCCAGGAAATCTATGACTGAAATTATTAAAGAAACAATTCTATTAAGTTTGATGCAAATACGTTTAAATAAAAAACCACCAATTAGTCTGAAACGGTAACAATCAGCAAATAAGAAGTTAGTTGTCGTGCCCTATACTACAATCAATCATAAGTGCAATTATATAAGCTTTGTGCAAGTTCAACGTTCCTTTTTTTCTTAAAAAAGAACAAAGCTAAGTAAATTCCAACTCATAAATTTAATTAACCAAATACATAAAATGAGAACATGCCCATAACACTGAAATTAAATTCAGGGCAGGAAGAGTACCTGAACAATGTTGTTGGCCAGCTGAAAACTTTCGACAATATGACAGAAGTAAGTATGCACCCACAGAAGCCTACAATAGTTCCCTCCCATGTCTTTTTGGGGCTTATACTAGTAAGTGGAGTCCTGCCAAATGTCTGCATGGAGGTTAGCATGAATCTCATAATCAAAGACCAGAGATATGAAAAATGAATATTCTACCATCCATTTTCTGCTGCCTCAGCATATCACATGGATCACCGCTAGATAGAATACTGTTATGACACATAGCTGTCTCCTATTAGGAGTAGGCCACAACTATCTTCTCTATAATATGGATATCGTGCTTTTACCAATATTAAGAATAGAGATTCCCTCCCTCCCTCCCTCCCTCTCTCAATCTCACACAAGATCACTCTCTCAATTTTGGTTTTCATGGCATCAAGCCTAAAAGGCATTGCCCTGAAGGTAAAGTCCAACTTAGCATCCTCATCAACCACCATGCCATGCAAACTGCAACACTAAAGGTTTGTTTTTTATATTATGTTATCTTGTATTTAATCTGTTGTGGCTACATATCCCAATTTATGCACTCTTTATGGGAGTAGGCAAGCAGTCAAAGCTTTTTTGATAAGATTCCAAATAGAATTCTTGTAAAGACTTATTCAAAAAGAAAGCGTCGGAAGATAAACCAGGATTCATTTCATTATTATTTGATTCAGTATTTTATTTAGTTTTTTATTTGAATATTTCTTTAGATTTTATTTAGCCATTTAGTTCTTTAAATTTATTCAATATTTTAGATTCTAGGAGATTTTATTTAGTTTTATTTAATTCTCTAGTTATCTAGATTTTATTCATTATTTTAGAATATTTAGCATTATAAATATGACCAGCAACTTAGAAGCTAGCAGATCATCTTATCAATAAAACAGTCTTGTAAACCCTTTAGAGATTCTCTTGAGCGTAGCTATTGAAAAAAATATATAACAAAATCATTGTTATATATCATCTTAATATATTTATTCGTCTAATTTCTTTTTTGTTAAATTGAGCACCTACCAATTTGGCATCAAAGCCATGGTTACTACACATACTGGCCAAAAAACCAACCTTCCTGACAATTCATCCAACATTCCACCCAAAAATCATAACCCACTTGCGCACGATCTAGCACTTATTGCTTTAAAACTGGAGAAGCTTGACTTACTACAAGAAAAAGTAGAGGCCTTAGAAGCTTCTACAATGCAAAGAAATAGAAGAAATCCAAAAAGCTAACAAAGACACCATCACTGGGATGAAGAAAACGAAGAGGAATTAGATTACTACCACAAAAGAGGGCTAGGGCCACTCAACCCAAAATTGAATTTCCTAAATTCAATGAAGGAGACCCTAAAGGATGGATTCTTAAAGCTGAAAAATATTTTTGATATTACCACACTGGAAGAATCAAAAGTTGATATAGCTTCAATGTCTTTAGATGGAGATGCCTTGGATTTGTTCTTATAGTTAAATTCAAAATGCACCTTGCTGTATTGGGGAGAGTAAGTGAAGGCTTTGCAAGACAACTATGGGCCTCCAGAATACCAAAATCTAGACAAACATTTATGCAACATCAGGCAGGCAAGACCAGGCAAGACTAACAGCAAGAATTTGCACAACATTCAACTAGAGTAAAAAATTGGCCTAAACATTGTCTTCTTAGTGTCTTTCTCAGCGAGTTGAAGGAAGAGCCCCATTCTAACATTCGAATTCATAAACCCAGCAGTGAATATCGTGCGCTCACCATTGCTCTAGAATTTGAAGGGAAGATGCTCTCTCATGGACTCAAACCCAACCCGATTCTCTAATACAACCTCCTCAGTCACACGTGATTCGAGTCAGGCACAGAAACCATCTGCTAGATTCCCACCCTCAAGCAAGCCCTAAAGCATACATGGTCCCTTTGTAAGCGGCGTCACCCCCAGCTTCCCTCACACCAGCAAGCACAACTTCTATGGATGCTAAACACCAAAGAAGGAGAGAGATAAAGGATTATGCTTCCATTATGGTGAAAACTTTAGGCCTGGGCATCGATGCAAGGGCTCTTTTTTGTTAACGGAAGTCATAGAAGAAGGCAAGGAGATCATTCCCCCTCTTGAAGATGCCGAACTCATACAAACAAAGCTTGAAGGTGCCGAAATTTCTCTTAATGCCATCTTGAGTAGTAATTCGGGGTCAGCAATGAAACTCTATGGCATGTTATGTTCTCGACAAGTATTATTATTAGTGGATAGTGGGTCCACACATGATTTTATTTCTGATGCATTAGTCCAGGAACTTCATCTCCCTACCCAATCTATTCCTACCTTCGGAGTTCAAATTGGTGACAGTAGTATTGTGCGATGCGACCGAATTTGCAAAAATACAGAAGTGGAACTAATAGGATTGACCATTAAGGAAGATTTTTACCCCTTCACTCTAGAAGGGACCAATTTAATTCTCGATATTAAATGGCTAGCATCCCTTAATATGGTGCAGGCCAATTGGAATCAACTTTTTACAATTTTCTTGCTAAATGGCAAGAGTTATAAGCTTCAAGGAGTCCCTAATAACATGAAAGGTGCTTAATTCAATTCAATGCAACAAATAGATGCTTCTACTTAATCTGACCCATTCCAATATTTCAATCCGAAACCACTACTTGAAGAATTTCCCTCCGTTTTTGAAGAACCCCCTAGTTTGCCTCCATTCAGAAACCACTAACATACCATTCCTTTGCTACCAAGGACAAATCCTCCTAACCTACAACCATATGGGTACCCACACTGTCAAAAAGCAAAAACTGAGAAGCAAGTAGAAGAACTGCTAGCAAAGGGGTATATCCAATCCAATTCCAATCCATTTGCAAGCCCAGTTTTATTAGTTACAAAGAAAGATGAGTTCATGGCACTTCTAAGTAGACCACCAAAAATTGAATAGCCTTACAATTCTAGATAAATATCCAACTCCTAACATTGATAAGTTATTAGATGAATTACATGGGGCTGTCAATTCTTCAAAACTTGATCTTCGTTCTGAATACTACCAAATTCAAATGTTACCAAAGGATATCCATAAAATTGCATTTCACACTCATTCAGGGCACTATGAATTCACAATAATGCCTTTCAGCTTAACTAATGCCCCAGCTACTTTTCAAGCCGCCATGAATGACTTATTTCATCCCTACTTAAGGAAATTTGTATTGGTATTTTTTGATAAAATCTTGGTATATAGTTCCTCTTTTCAACGACACCAGGACCACTTGCACATAGTTTAAAGGCCTTGCAAGAAAATGTGTTTTGTGTTAATTTGAAAAAGATGCTTTATTAGGAGGCCACAAGTTCCCTTTTTGGGGCACAAAATTTCTCCCCAAGGAGTTGAAGTTGAGGCTGAAAAGGTGGAGGCAGTACAAGAATGGCCTGTTCCTAAAAATGTGAAGGAGTTGCATGGTTTTCTGGGCCTTACAAGATGCTACCAGCGTTTTGTAAAGAATTTTGGGATCGTTGCACGAAAACTAATTAAATTGACGAAGAAGGATGCCTTTTTATAGTCCAACCAAGCTCATAAGGCCTTTAATTGCCTTAAGCTCGCACTAATGATGGCCCCAATCTTACAGCTACCCAATTTTAAGGAGGAATTTACAATTGAATGTGATGCTTCGACTAAAGGAATTGGAGCTATCCTTATGCAAAGTAAACACCCTATTGCTTACTTCAATAAAGGATTTTCTTTCTCTAACCTCTTCAAGTCCACTTACAATCATGAACTACTAACGTTAGTTCTTGCGATACAAAAATGGTGCCATCACCTCCTCGAGAGGCATTTCTTTGTCAAAACAGATCACTCTAGCCTTCTACATTTATTACAACATATCACCACTAATACTTAATAGATGTTGATCATCAAGCTCTTACCATTTAATTTTACCATCATCCACAAGCCAGGGTGGAAAATAAGGGGTCGATGCATTGTCAAGACGACCACAACATGCAGCTTTTTTCAATTGGCAATCCCTTTCACTTCCGAGCTGCATGACCTCTCCTCTAAATTGGCATTAGATCCCTTCACTAATGAAATAATGCAAGATTTGCCAAAAAATCCATCATCTCAACCTAGATTCCACCTAGTTAATCAAAAACTTTCCCATGATCATAGAGTAGTCATTCTTTATTCATCACAATTGCGACCAAAGTTACTAACAGAAGGCCACTCTAATACTATTAAGGGGCACGGAAGTTTTCTTGAAATATTTAAGCATCTTCCTGAGAATTTTTATTGGCCTACAATAAAAGTAGATGAAGGCATACATGAGACATTGTGCCACTTGTCAGCAAAATAAGTATCAAACTCTGGTACCACCAAGACTTCTACAACCCTTACCTGTACCCTCTCAGATTTGGGAAGACATCTCACCTGATTTTATCACCGGTCTTCCAAAGTCTGGTGGTTTTAAGGTCATCTTGGTAGTGGTAGATTGTTGAGTAAGTATGCCCATTTTCTTGCTCTTATGCATCCTTACACTATAAAGAAGGTTGCCACAATCTTTTGTGAGGAAATTATCCGACTACACGGGGTGCCTCGCTCAATCATCTCCAATAAGGACCCTATTTTCATAAGCTTCTATTGGCAAGAATTATTCCGATTAAGCCAGACCAAGTTGAAGATGAGTACTGCTTATCATTCTCAAATAGATGGTCAAATAAAGGTGGTCAATTGTAGTCTTGAAGCCTATCTGCGACGTTTTGCACATAAGCAACCCAAGTCTAGGCACAAGTTTCTTTGTAAGGCTGAATACTCATGCAACACAAGTCATCGTACTTCAACCAACCATTCTCCTTTCAAGCTGGTATACAGGAGAGATCCTCCTCCCCTGCTTCCTTATGTGAAAGGAGAAACACCTGTAGCTGATTTGGAAGATCATCTAGAGACCAAGGATGCAGTGCTCCACTTCTAAAGGATGATCTGCACAAGGCTCAACACTGAACGAAGGTTTATGTTGACAAGCATTGGAAAGAAGTCGAGTATGTTATGGCAATGTTGTGTGGCTACAGGAACAGCCTTTTCGCCAATAATCACTTACCAAGCAAAAGTTTGAAAAATTATCACCTTGCTTCTTTGGCCCCTTTCGGCAAGAATTATTCCGATTAAACCAGACCAAGTTAAAGATGAGTACTACTTACCATCCTCAAATAGATGGTCAAACAAGGTGGTCAACTGCAGTCTTGAAGCCTATTTGCGATGCTTTGCACATAAGCATCCCAAGTCTAGGCACAAGTTTCTTTATTAGGCTGAATACTCATACAACACAAGTCATCATACTTCAACCAACCTTTCTCCTTTCAAGATGGTATACAAGAGAGACCCTCCTCCCCTGCTTCTTTATGTGAAAGGAGAAACACCTGTAGCTGATTTGGAAGATCATCTAGAGACCAAGGATGCAATGCTCTAACTTCTGAAGGATGATCTACACAAGGCTCAGGACTGAATGAAGGCTTATGCTAACGAGCATTGGAGGGAAGTCGAATATGTTGCGAGCGATGTTATGTGGCTATGAGAACAACCTTTTCACCAACAATCACTTACCAAGCAAAAGTTTGAAAAATTATCACCTCGCTTCTTTGGCCCCTACAAGATTCTTTGACAGATTGGAAATGTAGCTTATGAATTGGAACTTCCAACAGATGCCTATATTCACCCTATTTTCCATGTATCTTTCTTGCACCAGGCTCATGGGATGGATCCGTCACTTACACCAGCTTCCTTACCACTATCAATTGATTTTGAGTTATATGTGAGGCCTCACCGAATCATAGATCATTGATAGACTCATCACAACTTGCTTGAACTATTAGTGGAATGGCACAAGCAACCTATGGAAGAGGCACACTAGGAGGATTATGATCTCTTGCATGCTCAAGTTCCCTCTTTTCAACTTGAGGACAAGTTGAGTTTTCAAGGGGAGGTAATGATAAGATTCCAAATAAAATTCCTGTAAAGACTTATTCAAGAAGGAAGCGTCAGAAGATAAATTAGGATTGATTTCATTATTATTTGTTTCAGTATTTTATTTAGTTTTTTATTTAGATATTTCTTCAAATTTTATTTAGCTATTTAGTTCTTTAGATTTTATTTAGATTCATTATTTTATCTATTTAGATTTTATTCAGCAATTTAGATTCTAGGAGATTTTATGTAGTTTTATTTAATTATCTAGTTATCTAAATTTTATTTATTATTTTAGATTATATTGAGCATTATAAATATGACTAACAACTTAGAAGCTAGTAGATCATCTCATCAATAAAACAATCTTTTAAACCCTTTGGAGATTCTCTTGAGTGTGGCTATTGAAAAAAATATAGAACGAGATCCTTATTCTATATCATCATCATAATAGATTTATTTGTCCTATTTCCTTTTGGTTAAATTGAGCACCTACCATTTTTCCTCTCTTATTGTCTTCATCAATGATAAAAGAAATGAGAAATTAAAAAAAAAAAAGGTGAGAAGCAAGAACATTGAAAAGGACACAGCTAAACAAGAAAATCTAAAGTATACATGTGTGTTTTGGAGTGTCATATCATGTCTAATATATTAGTGTTGAAAAGGTGTGAGACATGGATACAGCTTCTCCTGTCCAGTGTCAATGAATTCATAGGAAGCAAGGATGTAGAAATGACAAGGGTTGGCATATTATCAAATGTGAATATCACATCTGAAAACAAATGATAATTGCAGCAGAAATTTGAAGCAGCAGATTGAAAAGCCTAGTTTACCTTGCCTCCAAGAAAAGCAAATGTATCAGCAGCAATTATGCTACTTATAGAAATCAAAGTTGCTACGAGACCAACTGTCCAATGGGCTTGACCACCAAGAAAAAAAGGCCATGTTGCACCTATTCCTACCAGGATTTAGTCTAGTTACAACACAGGCGCCATAAAAGATGCAGTAGGGAGGAGGGCAATTCTGAACATAAATAACTGACCAGAGATGAACAGAATAAATTTTGCAAACTTACATAACAGCATAAATAAACTTTTCCTAATTAGAGATGAAGAAGCTAATTACTTGTGTTCAAAGCTGGAGCTGCTAAACCACACCGAAGCTTCACCCAAAAGCAAGGAAGATAGCCGCAATAGAACAGCCCAAAGATGGCACTACTTAGCTGTGCAAAACGAGGGTTTCCTCTTTGTAGCAGTAATGCCATAGCCACAACAAAAGCAGCAGAAGTCACAGAAACATCAATATGACCACGATACCTAGAAATAAATTAGAAACACTAATAAATAAACCAATAGCTATCAGTTTTTCAAACGTAAAGTAGCAGATGAGCTAATATGTTTCATAAGAAGTTAAAGCAAGCTTATCCATGTACATCCATTAAACAATATATGCATCAGAATTTGAAAAAGACACACACGCACACACTCATATTGATTTGAACAGAGCTGGAAGAGGGAGATACAGCAGAAACAGCAGAAACAGAGATGGAAATAGAGAACAGAGAGGGGGAGAAAGAGAGAATGAATCAGAACGTAGGGAGAGAGAGAACAATCAAAATATCATCTCTAATATTCATTCATCATCCAAGACGATCGTGGCTTTATGACCACAATGTTATCAATCATGGTCATGAGAATACCTATACATTTAAGCATGGAGGCAAGACAATCCTATTACGTCCTGCTAAGCCTGACAATGAAAGCAAATACTCAAGTAAATCAAAAAGCACAAAACCCAAGACCCACAACTTGCATCTTCTGACAGAAAAACAATTTGTACAAGAAAGCAGAGAGAGTACAATTGTGTTTATTTTAGTATCCAAGATCTCGCAACGAATTGCTACTACTTCAGAAATGCCAGAAGAGGTGCAACAGCTCTTACAACAATTCCGGGATATCATTCCAGATGAGCTTCCATCTGAATTATCACCAATGAGAGATATCCAACATGCAATTGATTTCATTCCAAGTTCACAACTCCCCAATCTACCGCACTACAGGATGAACCCTAAAGATAGGGCAGAGCTTAACCGACAAGTCAATGGATTGTTAGAAAGGGGTTACATCCAGCATAGTATGAGTCCTTGTGCAGTACCTGCTCTTTTAACCTTAAAGAAAGACGGCTCTTGAAGAATGTGTGTAGACAGCAGAGCCATCAACAAGATCACCATCAAGTATAGGTTTCCCATTCCTAGACTTGATGACATGCTTGATTTAGTGTCTGGATCTAGTTGGTTTTCAAATATTGACCTTAGAAGTGGTTATCATTAGATCAGGATTCACCTGAAGATGAGTGGAAGACTGCTTTTAAAACGCAAAATGGGTTGTTTGAATGGCTTGTTATGCCCTTTGGGTTATCAAATGCCCCAAGTACATTCATGAGAGTAATGACTCACCTCCTTCGCTCATACCTGGGAAAATTTTTGGTGGTATACTTTGATGACATACTAGTTTTTAACAAGTCAAAAGAAGAACATTTGGAACATCTCGAGTTAATTTTTCTCACCTTGCGTCAAGAACAGTTTTATGTTAACTTGCCTAAGTGTTTATTTCTTCAAAATCAAGTCATCTTCCTGGGTTTCATAGTTTCTGAAAGGGGTTTAGCAACTGACCCTGAAAAAGTCCAAGCCATTCGAGAATGGCCTGAGCCACAATCTCTCCATGAAGTACGGAATTTTCATGGCCTTGCTTCTTTCTATAGACGCTCCATTAGAAACTTCAGTACCATTATGGCTCCTATCACTGATTGCTTAAAACAAGACAAGTTTCAGTGGACATCTACAGCTTCCGTGGCTTTCCAAGATATTAAGAAGAAGCTTTCTCAAGCTCCAGTCTTGTCTTTAACTGATTTTACAAAGTGTTTCGAAGTTGCTTGTGATGCGTCTGGGACAAGAATTGGAGGTGTACTAAGCCAAGAAGGTCACCCTGTGACTTTCTTCAGCGAAAAGCTCAATGATGCCAAACAAAAGTACTCCACTTATGATAAGGAATTTTATGCGATTGTGAGATCCCTTGAGCATTGGAAGTACTATCTTCTTCCGCAACAATTTGTTCTTTACTCTGATCATCAGGCGTTTAGGTTTATCAACTCTCAGCAGCACTTAAATGCTAAACATGCTAAATGGGTTGAGTATATTCAGGGATTCACTTTTGTGGTCAAGTATCATTCAGGAACAGAAAATATTGTGGCTGACGCCCTGAGCTGTCAGATCAACTTGTTGCACACTATGAGCGTTAGTGTTGTTGGTTTTGAAAACTTGAAGGAAGACTATGCTTCATGTCCAGATTTTGGGATAATACACCAAGAAGTTCACAGCAGTAATCGTCATGAGCATGTTGATTTCATCCTTAAAGACGGTCATCTCTTTCGTGGAAGCAAGCTGTGCATCCCATGTACTTCTATGCGAGATTTTCTTATATGGGAGTTACACGCTGGAGGTTTAGCTGGTCATTTCGTGGTTAATAAGACAATGGCATTAGTCGAAGATAGGTTTTACTGGCCTTCACTCAAGCTATTTGATATATTCTGAAAACTCTCTCCCTCCAGTCTGCGTCCTACCCCTCCCAGTTCTTCCTCCCTCTTTGTTCTGTCCTTCCTCATCTCTTCCCCCATTACCCTGTTCTCGTCCCTCTCCCTACCACTCTCTGTTTTTGTCTCATCTCACTTTTCCTTTTCTATTTAAATCAGTGTGAGCGTGAGTGTTTGTGTTTTACATCACACAGTCATCCATCCCTAGCTATCATCATAATATAATAATCAATATCATCAATTTATAATATAAAATCTAGAGAAAGCCTCACTATTTGTAGGCAATAAGCAATGAAGCTCACTTCAAACTCCGCGAAGCAGAAGACCCATAGTCTGGTTACATTAAAATGAAGTAAGTATGAAGTTATAGTTCTCAAAACTCCCGTCAATTTCTGACACATTTATCAAAGCTTCGGGTTTCGATGAAAAATTTGCTTACCCAGTCACACTTGCAGCACACAACAACAACAACAAGCCTTTATCCCACTAGGTGGGGTCGGCTACATGGATTGCAAGACGCCATTGTGCTCTATCATTTATCAAGCTTTTAGAAATATTATTAATTAAGAGATCACGTTCAACAACTTCCAAGAGTGTTCTCTTAGGCCTTCCTCTACCTCTCTTAACCGGACTCAAAGTTATATGTTCCACTCTTCTCACTGGTGCCTCCCTTGGTCTTCTTTGTACATGCCCAAACCATCTCAACCGATTTTCTATCATTTTTTCCTCAATAGGTGCCACCCTCACTTTTTCACGTATGTGCTCATTTCGAATTTTATCTTTACGTGTATGTCCGCACATCCATCGTAACATTCTCATCTCTGCTACTCCAACTTTATGCTCTTGCTGTCCCGTTAGAGCCCAGCATTCACTACTATATAACATTGCCGGTCTGATAGCAGTACGATAAAACTTTCCTTTAAGTTTATTAGGCACCTTACGGTCACAAATAACTCCTTTAGCTTTTCTTCAATTAAACCACCCAGCTTGAATTCTATGTGAAATATCTCCACTGATTTCGCCATCATTTTGAATAATGGCTCCCAAATATCTAAACTTTTCCACTTGAGGTATAATTTGATCTCCTAATTTCACTTCCAAATTATTTTCGAATAGTCCTTTACCAAATTTACAATATAAATATTCCGTCTTACTTCTACTCAGACGAAAACCTTTCGACTCCAATGTCCTCCTCCATAACTCAAGTTTGCAATTAACCTCTTCTCTTGTCTCTGCTATAAGAACTATATCATCCGCGAAAAGCATACATTTCGGGATTTCCTCTTGAATATGTTCCGTCAAAACATTTAAAATCAAGTTGAACGAATAAGGACTCAGAGATGATCCCTGATATAGTCCAATCTTTATAGGAAAATCCTTTGTTTGACCACTAGGCGTTCTTATACTAGTTTTTACCCCCTTATACATATCTTGTATGGCTTTAATATAAGCAATCCGTACTCCCTTTTTTTCCAACGCTTTCCAAAGCACTTCTCTTGGTATACGATCATAAGCTTTTTCCAAATCAATAAAAACCATGTGTAGATCTTTATCTTTACAACGATACTTTTCCATTAATCCCCTTAGTAGATAAATCGTCTCTGTAGTTGATCTACCTGGCATAAAACCAAATTGATTCTCAGAAATACTTGTCTCCAATCTCAACCTGTGCTCAATTACTTTCTCCCACAATTTCATTGTGTGGCTCATGAGTTTAATCCCTCTATAGTTAGTACAATTCTGAATATCTCCTTTATTTTTATAAATAGGAATTAATGTACTTCTCCTCCACTCATCAGGCATTTTCTTGGACCGTAAAATCACATTAAATAACTTAGTTAACCATCTCACCCCTTCTTCACCTAAACATTTCCATGCTTCGATAGATATACAATCAGGTCCGTTGGCTCTACCATTTGCCATTTTCTTAAGAGCTTCCTTTACCTCCTTATCACGTATTTTTCGATAGAATGACAAATTTTGTTCTCCTTCACCAGTTACTAAATCCTCCAAGTTACTAGATGAATCCTCTCCATCATTGAAAAGTTTAGAAAAATAAGTCTCCCATCTATTTTTAATTTCATCATCTGTAACTAAAATTCTTCCCTCTTCATCCTCAATACACCTTACCTGTTCTAGATCTCTTGATTTTCTTTCCCTACTCTTGGCAATCTTATAAATATTTTGCTCTCCTTCCTTCGTCTCAAGGTTCTTATAAAATTCTTCAAAAGCTTTAGAACGAGCTTCACCCACAGCTCTCTTAGTTTCCTTCTTAGCCATACGGTACCTCTCCCAATTTTCCTCATTGTTACACAAATGTATGGCTTTAAAACAGTTCTTCTTATACTTGATTTTGTCCTGTACACTATTATTCCACCACCAAGACTCTTTATCTCTCGGACCAGAACCTTTCGATTCTCCCAAAACTACTTTTGCAACCTCCCGTATCTTTTTAGCCATATCCTCCCATATGATGTTAGCACTTCCCTGAGAATCCCAAATTCCTTTATCCAAAAGATTTCGCTTGAAAATATCTTGCTTCTCACCTTTTAATTGCCACCACCTAATCCTTGGTGTTACTACTTGTCGACGTTTTTGAATTTTACTCATAATACACACATCAAGGACTAGGACCCTATGTTGTGTCATTACAGCATCTCCGGGGATCACCTTACAATTTTTACAAAGTTTTCTATCCGTGTTCCTAACCAAAAGAAAATCAATCTGCGACCTTGAGGCTCCACTTTTGTAAGTGATGAGATGCTCATCTCTCTTCTTGAAACAAGTGTTGGCAATCTTAAAATCATACGCCAATGAGAAATCAAGAAGAGTTTGTCCTTCATTGTTTAGCTCTCCAAAACCAAAACCACCATGCACCCTCGCATACTGACCAGCTTCCCTCCCGACATGCCCATTAAAGTCTCCTCCAATAAAAATCTTTTCACTCTGTGGTATGTGTCGAATCAACCCCTCCAGATCCTCCCAAAATAATTCCTTAAGACTGGCTTCTGTCCCGACTTGCGGCGCATAAGCGCTAACAATATTAACAGTCTCACGTCCAATTATCATTTTTAAAGAAATAATTCTGTCTCCAATTCTGCTAACTTTTACAACGTTCTTCTTCCACTCCTTATCTATAATGATGCCTACTCCATCGCGTGCACTTACTTTTCCTGTATACCAAAGTTTGAAACCTTGAATATCCTTAGCTTCTTCTCCACGCCATTTTGTTTCTTGCAAGCAAAGGATATTGATTTTCCTTTGAATCATAACCCCTACAACCTCTACAGATTTACAATTTAATGTCCCAACATTCCAAGTACCAAATCTAATTTTGCTCTTATGGACTAACTTCTTTAGCCGCGTGCGTCCAGAATGACGCGGTAGCCCTTGCTCATTTAACACTACATCCGGGCGCCGATGCAGCGGCTCTAACTCACTTATCACTGTACTCGAGCCATGCAGCGCGTTACTTACGGGCAACGACCTAGCATTAACATTATAACGTCTATTGTCCATGTTCATGATAGATTCAACAAATTTTTACATTGGCTGTTGATAGCATTAACTTTACTTGCAGCACACAAATATGCACAAATAGACTTTACATGGAAATTGTAAGATTTATTTTTCTTCTTCTGAATCTAAATGTTTTATCATATGTAAAAATAAATGGGCTAACAACTATTAGCAAAAGGTTCTTTCTTTCATCTTATTTCAAGCAAGGGGTGGGTGGGGGAAGGACGGAGCCCACGTCTACTTTTAACATCCTAGAGGGGAAGGTAGCCTCCCCTCCTAAGTTTATTTCCATTAATCATGTAGCTTACGAAATGCACCAACTAATGTGTCGTATGAAAAATATTTTAGGTGCCCATTTCCAATAAGATTAGCAAACTAAGATTCAGAGATAATAAATTGCATTTGACTGCTCAAAACAACACCAAACTTCCATTGATAAATACGTACTGTCCGCAAAAAAGCAAAATGTAATATAGATGAGCAAAGAGGCTAGCATAGAATTAGAAAGTAAAGCAAAATAATAAATCTTACATGATAAACATAGGCATTAGGGCACAGATGATGGAGCAAACTCGTGACACATAGCGAGGAGGAGGGGTCATTCCTTCAGTAATTCCACGACTACGAACCAACTCAAAATATTCACGGGCACCAGCAAAGACAACAGCTGCAAAGGCTACTGTGAAAACCCATCCTCCAGCCAAGACAACACCACCAGCGGCTACCCCAATGCCAAGTCCAAAAATAATTCTGTTTTTCAACTGACTAACTTTCTGCTGAGATTCCAAGATTACATCTTCCTGCAATGGCAAAGACTTGGATTAACTTCCCATAAACAACCCTTCAGTAACTACATTCTATTAAATTGAATCAAAATGAACATAAAAATTCATCACTCTATATCTTCATCAACAGAATAAAACAAATACAAATCTTTGTTCAGCGAAATGAGAGATAGCACGAGTAATTTAACTTTTTTAGTTAAAATGTAAATAACTTAAAGGAGAATTATGTTTAGGTCCCACAAGATCCATTGACAACTCAGCATCGCAAAATATCAATGGACCTTGTGGTATTTAATTGGGTTGTGGTGGATTTAAGTGTAATTCTCGCAATAACTTGGCAGGCAAAGTGGCACCCTAGATGAACATTAACTTCATACGAACTCACTAGTTCATCCAATTATCCGAACTGACTCCTTAGCGCAGTAAAGACAGAGACCATTTTTTCTAAAAACGCATGCCTTAGCATCCCATTCAGTTACTCCTATTTTAGGTTCAAAACGATAAACAATGGATTATCATATCACCATCAAGTAACCAAATTCAGTTCTTCAAATTGTCATCTTCAATTTACTACCACAATTAAATTTCATCCACTTTCACTCACTAAAAGCAACGACAATGCCGAATTCAACTTATCTCCTTATACCACCGGCCCACTTCAGCCAAACGTAGCACTAAACCAATACCCACAAACAAAAGCACAGACGACACGGAACCACAATTCATCAATACCGTATACCCAAGCACCTTTTCCGCATTCCCTTCATCAAGCCGGTCGGGCTCGGCTTGAGCTACAGCTGTGATGACTCGCCGGTGAGGCAAGAGGCCGTTTTGACTAACCCGAAGCACGGCTTTGCGTCTCGAGAACACGAGACGGATTTGGCTGAGCCTGGAGCAACGGCGATGGATAATTAGGGATTGGGACGAAATGGGACGGCAAGGACAAGTGCAGAGCGGTGGCAGAGAAAGAGGGGGGAGCTTGAACCTATCAACATCCAAATACGACATCGTTGCCATGGGAAAAGGGGAGCGTCTTCCCGTACGGCGGAAGCGACGAGGATAAGGTCAATTGGCGCTTGGATAGATTGGAGCCATTTGCAGAGATGATCCCCAAAGTCCTCGGATTCACAAAATCCCAAAATGGAACTTGAATTGAGGTTAATACGCACTCTTCCGTTCTGACTGGGATGGGTTTTCCTTTGTGGAGACTATTACTTGATTCAACATCTGGGAGAGGACGAAGGAGAGGGTTTTTTTTTTTTTTTTGACCTGAAAACTCGCACACATCTAGGGGGTCAAATTCAATTTAACCACCTTAATTAAATTTATTTAATTATTTTTTAACGTCTAGTTTATGAGCTCAATAAACTGTCTTGTATACATTATATATTATATTACAAGTATATTAATTTTACTATAAAATTTTTAATCAATTTATTCTTTACTATTTTCAATTATATTTTCAATCATATTTAATTTATATATTAATTTTAATATTGTTACTTTACTTTTATATTATATTGTAGTTAATAAGTACTTTCAATTCTTATATATTATAATTAAGTTATATATTATATATTATAATAATTTTAAAGTATATTTGAGACATTTAAAATTAAAATACGAGCCTATTTAAAAGGCTTTACTTTTAAGTAAATTTTTAAATAGGCTTACAGGCCAGATTAGGCTTTAAATAGGCTTAGGTTTGAGTCATACAAAAAACTTTATATAGGTTTCAAGCCTAAGGCTCAAGCCTCTAATTTACCACATAGGTTCAGGCCTATTTGATCAAAGATTAACTCAGCGCAGCCTATTTTCACACCTCCACATATCTATGATACAATGCCATCTTATTAAAATTTCCAAAACTATTAAAGCAAAAATTACGAATAGCATTTTGCAAATTTAGTTAGTGCAAGTTATTCAAAAAAATTTGGCCAAAAAAAGTTATTTAAAAAAAGGAAGTGATCAAAAATTTAGTTATTGTAATGAGTTATATTTGGATTTTATATAAAAAATTTATTTTAATAAATTGAAACTTGTTTAAAAGATATAATTTAAAATTTAAAAACAAGTTAAATGTATAGTAACTGAAAAGTGAAAAGGAAAATGATTTTTAAAATTTAGAGTAAAATATATTGACTATTCTATTCCAAAAAAAAAAAAGTATTGACCATTCCTCTATTTTATCCTTATATTTTTAAAATTTATAAAAATTATCTAAAAATTATTCAAGTTACTAAAAAAATTAATGGATATATTTTCAAATTTTCATTCATATTTTAAAATTTTTAGTTATGTAAACTTATTTATTTAGTATTTAAAAAATTATATATGTATATGTGTGTGTATATATATATATAAAAATTAAGATCTAGAGATAAAATAGTTTTCAATATAGCATTAAGCGAGATGAGGCTTTAATGGCACATAAGTTTTGTCTTGAAACTCTTGACAGATGCCTAAAGGATATTCTAAATTTAAGTAGCCTATTAGTTGGTGATCTTTTTTCTTTTGAAGGAAATGTTGCTATATTTGGTGGAGACCTAAGGCAAATTTGGCCTTCCTGTTATTCTAGGTAAGTCAAGAGAAGATATTATTTTTATAACCATTAACTTTTTGTTCTGGGACAATTGTCACCTTTTGACACTAACAATAGACATGAGACTTCTGTGGACAAATAATGGAGTTATCTATTAGTGCTCTTTAAAATTTTACTGATTAGGTTATCTCAATTGGTGATGAAACAGTCGTTGGAGCTAATGAAGGATTTATGGATGTTAAGATTTTAGATGATTTGTCACAGGATGGTTAAGACAATCGTAAAGTCTTTTGTTAATTCAACTTTCTCAATTTTCCTTGCCAATATATATAATTCTTCATTGTTTAGAGATAGGACTGTATTAGCTCTTATGTAGATTGTGACTGAAGAAGTATATAAGTACATATTATCCTTACTTCCCAAGAGAAAGTTGGATACATGAGCTTTGATAGTGTTATTAAATATGTTGGAGATGTGAATTTACTTAATAACTTGCATTCTACACATTTTCTAAATTAAATTACAATGTCAAACTTTTTGAATTATGAAATAAGGCTTAAAGTAGGTGCCCCAATTTTAATATGAACTTAAACATTGAGAAGTTTACAGGTTGTGCAATGGTACACGTCTTATAGTTATACGAGTTAGAAAACATGTTATTGAAGTTTAATAAATGTATGGATCAACTACAAAGATGAAAGAATGTATACCAAGGCCAGACCTTGTGTAATGTTGGTTTGTACTTACCTCGTCTTGTTTTCATGCATGACCAGTTATATGTTGCTATTTCTCATGTTCGAAGCAGGGATGCTTTTAAAAATATTGGTTCTTGATGAGGATAGTCGATCCACAGACAAAACTTTTAATATTGTTTATAGGAAAGTTTTTGATAATTTGATCTAATTAATTATAAATTTTTATTAATATGCTTCTTATCATATCCATTCACACTATATTCATTTAGTTTTTACATTTACTTAACTCTAATATGCATATTTAACATTAAAAATGATAGTTACATAGCCCTACTATGTATAGGATGATATGGAGTATTGGAAATGATATGCTACAAGTTATTCTTTCAAGAAAATCTCCTGCAATATTAATACTTATTTATAAAAACTTTAGTTCATTGCAGATGCTAGATATTTCACTTATAAAAAAATTATTGTATATGGCTCGTGCATTGCATATGTACTTTACTAGTTTGTATAGCATTGGAGTAGTTAAATCTGACTTGAGTAAATTCTGGAAACGATTATTATTTTATATTCATGACTTCTTAAACATTTTTTTAATTTTAATTATCATTTGGAATATTTACACAATATACATATCAACTCTATTTCTCACGGTTGGTGAATTGTGACTTTACTTTTTCTTCCACAAATGAAATGGCCATGTTAGAGGTGCATGAGACATGAGACAATGATGGAGCAATAAGACCTACAAAAATATGATTAACAATAAAAAACATCTTAGGTCCCATTTGATACACTAGAATTTGAAGCTTGGAATTGGAAATGGATATGGAATCCTGAAAAATATTTGTTTGGTACCATGGAATTTAAAAATTTTCCATCTCCATATCCACCAAAATCGGTGGAATTGGCTTCCACGATACACCTTAAAGATTTCAAATTCTTTGCTCCATACTCAAATTTTACCCCCTTCCTTCTTAAGAGCAACCTTCTCCCCTTCTCTACGGGCGACCTTCTCCCCACCTGTCAGTGACCTTCTTCTCCCTTTTCAATCTCCCTTCCTCGCTAGTGACCTCCTCTGTCTTTGATCCTCCCTTTTCATCTCCATTAATCGGAGGATAACCTACCTCAGTGCCCACGCATGATTGCCTCTAGGTAACCCACCATTGATGTTGAATATGAGAGCTTTAAAGTCATACATCATTTTTTGACAAACGATCACCCCTACGTTCACATTTATCTCCGTTCGCACTCTTCTCAAATATGTTTTGCTTCATTTTCATATATGGGTTTTAGATCTATTTCATTTTTATATCTATTTATAGTCAGACTTTTTTGTGATTATAGTGGATTGCAGGAGCTTAACTGTCACCTCCGCCAGTAGAAGAATGTGGGCAACTTGGCTGTAATTCAACTGATAAACGCATTCAATGTCTTTGTTAAAATGCCTATGAGGGATGTCATTGCCTTGATCGGGATTTGCTTAGGTGGCCAGTTTCCTTAATCAAGTTTCTTGTCTTTTGCATTAGATAATGGGGTTCCTTATTCATGATAAGGTGGGTATCATCCGTGCTAGTTTTTCAAAAAGAATATTTAGTCTTTTGAATAAAAATAATACCATAATTCCATGGACATACCAAATGTATTTTTAAAACTCATATTCATCTCCACTTCTATATCCATTTTCATTTCCATCAAAATTAATTCCAACGTACTAAATGAGGCATTAATTAGTTATATTTCTTTAGGATTGACATCTAGACAAGCAACATTGGAGAAAAAGGAAAGGGGAAATATCATTTAAGGATAATTGAAGAAATTTAATATCAAATAATGACAAAAAATTTTGAAATATCATTGCAGGATCAAAGGATTGATTTAAAATAATTTTATAGAAGAAAATAACATAATACCCTTACTTTTCTTTTTCCATTTTTAAAACTTATTAATTAATGAATGACTTCTTATTAAATAAAAATGAGTACTTGTTAATTAATAAAGGGTTACTTGTTGAAACATGATCTACACTTTTCCTATTTTACAATCAAGCTATTTCAATTTTCAAATTTGTCAATTAGCAAATGGCTTCTTGTTAAGTGTGAATGGATACATATTAATTAATTAATGACTACTTGTCAATTAAAAAGAAAAATAGGGATATTATAATCTTTTTTCATCTAAAATTATTTTCAAATCAATCCCCTAGTCCTGCAGTAATATTTAAAATCTTTAGGTCCTTGTTTGATAGCAAATATCATTGGCAGTCCTTGAATGATATTTTCTTAGAAAGAAAAGAAAAAAGGTTTCAACATAGGAAATAACAAGGTAATGAGTTGGTAGAAGCAACTAGTGGTGGAAATCAAAATCAAAGATGAGATAGAGATGAAGATGGAAAAGGAAACAAAGAACAAAGAAACTGAGAGAAACAATATAGAGAAGGAAAGAAAAAGGTGGTGGAAGAGATGAAGAAAAAAAAGATATGAGATGACAAGAGATAGGAGAATTAGGAAAAGAGAGACAAGCTTTTCGTATACAACAAATGAAAAGGTCGAAGGAAACCGAAAACTTGTCAATAATAAAGGAAAGGTTAGGAGAGATAGAAAGTTCTTTGAGGAAAAGAGAGATGAGCTATCCTTGGAAAGGTGGATCTTCCGAATACATGAGTTGGTTAAAATAGTATTTCAAAGCACATATAGAGAAAACTTAATAAAATATAGATTTGATATTTTGCAAATAAAAAAGGATTACTCTGTATGGTCTATAGAAACACCCATATAAGGTTATATAAATAATGAGGTTCATCAATTTTAACCTAGTCTTTGAATGATCAATGATCATGAGGTTCATCACTAGAGTGATGATGAGTAAGAGTATCATACCACTAATAGTACTCAACAATAATGGGCATTGCCCAACCCAATCTAAGATGATCAGTATCGGACGTAATGTTGGCTATTTTGAAGATTGTTGAGGTATACAAAATAATGATGTCTATGCCAGAGACTTGTTGGAAGAAGT